AAATTAAATTTAAATATTATATATATTTAACTTTTTAAAAATAGATGAAATTTAAAAAAAAATTAATATATATTTTAGAAAGATTTTTTTTTAAAAACAAAATATATCAAATTTTTAGTTTATTTTTAATATATAATATATCAATAAAAAATTATTATTTTAACATATATATATTTAAAATAAAAAATTATAATTTGATTTTGTTATACAAATCAAACATAATAAAAATTTTAAAAATTAAATTTTTAGAATTTGAAATTTTTGAATTTATTTAATTTTTATATCACACAAATTTTATTCTTTATTTAAGATTCAGTTTATAACTCTAGGATAATATTGTAGAAATGTTTTAAAAGATAGTTGATAACTCTCCAGTAATTAAATTTCTCATTAAAATAGAATTAACTATATAGTACTTGAATTTCTTACTAAAAAGCTGTTTAAAAATGTCTATATTATTTAAATCAGCATTATTTAATAATATAAATTAATAATAATTTTAGTGTAAAGTAGAATTGTATTGTAAAATTAGCTAATTTTAATAATTATAATATTAAATAATTTTTTATTAAATATTTATAAATATTAATTATTACTATCAATTGATATTACGTGATAAATATAATTTATTTGAATAAAATTTTTTATTATATATTCTTTATAATTATATTAGATAATAATTTTATATAATAGCATTTCATTATCTAAAAGAAATCTAACTAAAAGCTAAAGTTTTATAAGAGTATCTCTGTAATGAATAGTAGTCATTATCAAAATTATCAATAAATTATAAACTTAGCTTTTAGTTATATTATACTAATATACTTCTTTTATATCTTAAATATTTTTTTTGGTTAAAATTATTATATTTATTAAACTCATTAAAGAACTAGTATTTAATGATATATATTAATTGATGAAAATATAAGAAATTTTACTTTATAACTCATTTCTTAAATAATATAAATCTGAATACTAAATAGTAACTATCATGAATTTAACTAACTTAACAATTATATATAATTTTTAACAAAATAAATAAAGTATCTGTATCTGTATAAGTAAGCTTTTTCATATATTCTGACATATATTGTCTAACCTTTCAATTAGATAATGAACAGCATTAAAGTATATAAATAATAAAATTATATAATATATTTATATAAAAATAATCTTATAAAATAACTTATAAAAATGCATGTAATTAAATAAAATATAAACTTATCATAAATATTTTTTATATTTAAACCTTATACATAAAATAAATGAAATCTCTTTGAACATAACCCAAAGTTAATTAATTAAATATATTATAAAGTATTTAAATTTAATCAAGTTCTTCTGATAATTTTAGTTATTCATTGTAAAATAGTTAGATATAATATATTGGTATATTACGTGATATTAGTTAATATAATGTTAGAGATATTATCAATTAAACTTTATTTTTCTATAAAATAAATATTTTTGTATAAATATTTATTTTGAATTTTATGAAACAATATCAAATTAATGATGCTTTGGACAAAAAATAATGTTTAGATGTAAATAGGAATGTGTTTATAATAAAAATATAATAAAATTATAAAAATATTACTTATTAGAATTTTTAATAATCTTTTATCTTAGAAACTGCATCAAAAAGTGAATCATCAATAATAACTATATTTAATAATCCAAATCAAATACTCTTTAAAAGGTGAACAGTATAAGTAATTATTACTTTTACTTATAAAATTATTATAATTTTCTTTTAAATAAATATAATATATTTTCTTTAAATATTGCTTCAAAGAATTTATTATTAAATTTTGAATGAAAATTACTTTTCAATTAGTTTATTCTCTATTTGATATAATAAAATTGTATATTTTTTAAAATTAAAAAAATACTAATAATTATATTAAATTTATTGTTTACTTATTATTAAAATTTTTACAAATGAGAATTGTCTTTTAATAGACAAAAAAAAAGAAAAAAATCATGCATAAAAGATAAAAGAAATAATATTGCATTTTCAATAAAAAAATATTGAAAGTATTAAACTGAAGATTGAATAATAAATTGACCTAATCTACAATAAAATACTAATACTAAAATAAGATAATTGTGATATAGGAATTTGAATTAATTTTTTTATTGCTTTCTACATAATCTTTAATAATAAAATACTTGAACTTCTTGAGATAGCAAATTCAATTAGTTTAAGATTTGAAATATATGACATATAAGGTATAATATATTAATTTTTAATAAATAAAACAGTAATAAAATGATTATTTTTGATCTTGCTAATCTGAAATCTGTAATATTAATGCAAATTTTCTTATTATTTATAACATAATGGATATCATTATTTAATATAGAAATTAGAACTAGTAAAGTTTAAACTTAGTTATTAATCAGTTAGAATTTTAATACTAATCTAAAAAATTAGATGTAAGATATAGTTATATAAATAATAATGATTTCTGATCAGTTAGCAGATAATAATCTTTAAAAAAATAAGTATTTTGATTTATACTCCATTAGAATATAAAGTCTATTTAATTCTAATTTTAATTATTTCACTTTATTAATATTATAATATTAAATATAATTCTGTTCAAAGGTATTATAATTCACATGTAAATTGTTTTTGATATTTGCAGTTAGTCCTTTATAAATTATTTGATTATTAGAATGCCAAGTTGACATAATGCCAGGATAGTAAGATGATAAAATGGTACAAATGCTAGACTGTCATAATAATTATTTTTTATAAATATGAATTAAAAATCCTTAAATAACTTAATATTCAATGCTTATCATTTCTTGTATTTGCATATATATATATTAAAAATATCTTCCTTTATCTCTTTGCTTTCACTGTTTTAAACATATTTAATTTTATAGTTTAATTGCATTTATATTTTAATTTCTGATTTTCTTATTTAATATGTAACTTTTTGTAATTGTGCAGATTTAATTAAATAAAGTTTTATTGGTTAGCATTTATAAAGTTTAAGAAATTGATATTATAAAAGTGTGGAGTGCTAACATTAAGGCAATACTGATAAATTTAATATTATTAAATAAATTTAAAGTTAACATTACTTCATTTTACTCAATAAAACCTTCTTCTTACATTTAAAATTATTTATAAATATATAAATAAAAGAACTGAACACAATAATATGTTATTTTTTAATTTCTGTAAATAAAAATAGAGAGTAATTCATTATCTTCTTTAATTTTTATATTAAATTAGATTTATCAAATATATTATTAACATTAATATTTATTATTAATATATTAAAAAATTTAATATAAAATAATTGGTTGTTTAATTAATTTTCTACCAAAAAAAAATAAACTTTTTCTTATTAATCTTATTAATGTATCACGCCCAAAGGGAATTATAAAAATATATAATTTTTTAAAATGCGTTTTATTATTTAGTTTTATTATAAATTATTTGCGAAGTAAAAAGATTTTAAAGATGATTACAAATTCGTTACACATCAGGCGAGAGACTATTCCAAAAAAATTTTTTTTAAATTTTTTTGAGTGCGTTGTGTGAAGATTTCAATAAGTAATAGATATCATTAACCATAATTGACTAAAAAGAACAATATGTTTAAATTTAAAAGACCGAATGTTAATCCTATCGTTTTTGATATGATTCTCAAGTATGACATTTTCTAGCATCTACGCCCAAATCACTTTTAATATAACTAATCTTTTCTAATATTTCAAAATTTGACCAAACTATCAGGTGTTGACATTCTTGGACTGTTGGTTGCGACCGATGAACTTCTTCTAGAGAAATTATGTTCAAGAACATTAGAATGACAATCATACGGTAATGGTAACACGATTAAATGACTAGGGAACGGGAACCGTTGTGCGTCCAAAGCGTTAATTTACATCGCTCAAATATAATGTTAACACAGCATCACGTGAAGAAAAAGACACGTGTTTATGTTACACCTGATCTTAAATTTTGATTGGTTAATTTTGTGACAGACGGACATTGCATGGTTTTGACTGTACTGAAGTGTCCTTCGCTACGCTTCGGACAATTTTTCCAATATATTATAAGTGAACATAGGATTGGAATCGATAATCGAATCAAAATCGAAATCTCATTTTTTGAAAGGATAAACAAAAAAATGAATTTAACATTGCATCTAAAGATCAAATCATGGTTTAAAATATTTTTAACGGCATTTAAAAACAGATTTTATATATTATCGACCATGGAATTAATTATTGAAGTTTTAAATGGATTATCTTATAAGGAACAAAAAATCGAATCTACAAAGATTCGATAACTGATTCCAATCCCTAAGTAAACAATATGAAACTAATGAATAGAAATATCAATGAAATGCTTGCTTGACGATTTTACTAATAAAAAAGTCTTCTCCTATTTATTGAGTTAAAACTTTCATTATGTTAAAATGAAGAATTCTTAGAAATATCTATTAAATTATACAACCCTTATTATTGAAGATTACATCATGTTATTAACTAATGAAGTTTGCCGAAACTAGGGATGATCATGGCGGTCAAAGGACCGTTTGACCAATCGATCCTGACTAACCAGGTTTATCATTTAACATTTTTAGTTATTAGAATTATATATTTTATGGCGAAGCATTATCGCGGACTTTTTTTTTCAAAGTTCAGAAATTACAAAATTTTGATTTATATATAAAAATTAAATAAATTAAAATGTTTATTAATTTGTTAATAATACAAAGAATTATTTTAAAAATTCGGTCGGTCCGGATGCCTTTGATCGACATTGGACACGGTTATAACCGGACCGGACCATTAGCATCCCTAGTCGAATCCACCATTAGCAACAAAATAAACATTGAAGAGACTAGTTTCAGAAAATCTCACAATCACATAAACTTCGATAACAGATCATGGCGAAAAATAAAATATATGAAATGTATATAACAAAAAATATTTTCTATAGTTTAGAATTTACTTGAAACAAATAAAACTTAACCAATGACATCCTTTAATTCTATATATTCTTCCATTTCCATCTTTGAAAAATACTTGTCGTTAAATACTTTTGGAACGTTTGGATGTAACTTAAAGATTTGTAAGGGATCAACTATTTTAGGAATATAAATAGTATCCTTTCTATATGTTGTAAGTCGAACATAATCGATTTGCTTTAAAATTTAAATTCATTAATAATCATTAATTTTAACAATTTGCTCACAAATTTCAGGTAGATACATACCATGATAATAGAATTATCTTTTACATTTATTGAGGGTTGTACCCATTTATTTACTTTGAATGGGAGTGAATATTCAACCCAACCCAATCCAACAAGTTCTGATAAATTTTCATTTGTTAATTTGTGACATCTGATACGACTACTATATATCTATAAATAAAATCATAAAAATCAATTAAAGCCGATAAAGATTTTTATATTTGCACATATGTAATATTACTTACATCAATTGTTTTAACAATAAACTCCACATAACAATCTTTGGACAATAACTTTTCAACATTTATTTTCCATGTAACGTAACAAGAAATAAATCTACTACTACCAAGTTTTGGCAAAATAATAGGAATTACTTCATCATTGAAAGATAACACTTGTCCAGATAAACTTAGATTTAATGTAAAGTTAGTTCGTTAAATAAGTTAAATTATAAATTTTACACGGAATGCTTACCTATTTGAATCAATCATTTTAAACCGATGAAATTCATCATTCAAATTTGCAAGGTTTGAAATAAAATACACACATTTTTCTACAATATAAAATTCTTTAAATCAAAAGTAAATTATATTCATATAATAAATTAAATATTCTTCTTACCTTTATACATGAGTTTATGAAATTTATTAATAATTCCAAGTACAATAAAGTCATTATCACTTATTTCAAAATATTCAGATAAAAATGACCATATTCTTGTATTCGAATACTCTTGCATTAAATAATTATTTAAAATATTTCCGCCAATTAATGATTTATCAAATAAACAATTTAAATAATTTAACAGAAATTTCGCCAAATTATCACCAGAATTAAATAATGATATACATCGTTTTACTTCAATTTTAGTTTTATCATTATTTCCTAACGCAAAATACACTAATCCCTTATAATAATGAGCAAGACTATACGAAGAATCCAATTGTATTAATTCATCAAGAACTGATAGAGCGTTTTCATAATCTCGAAGTTCATAATGGGTGATAGCTTTTTTTATTAAAAAATGAGTATTCTCGGAATCAATGTGATATGCTCTTGTATAATACGATATTGAATCATTGTACTTTCCTAAATAATTAAGAATTTCACCAGTATAACATAGTATTAATGAATCATCCTGATGAAGCTTCAGTATCTTTTCCAACATTTCTAATGCCTCTAAATATTTTTCTTGAATTTTATAAATATGTGCACAATACTTCAAACATAAATAATTTTTCGAATCTTTTTGCAATGCTAATATATAACTTTTTAAGGCTTTATCATAAAAGTCTTCCTTATCATATGTTAAATTTTCTGCTTTAGAATAATAACTATTGCCTAATAATATATTTAAGTTATTTGATTTATTATTATGATTTTTTGATTTTTCTAACATCTGTATTGCATATTCATAGTAACCTTGTCTGAAAAGTATTTCTCCACGAATAAAATAAGCAAGTGAATTGCTTTCTTTTAATTTAATAGCATCTTTTAAATTTGATAGCGCTTGGTCATAATTATCAAGACATCTATAAGCATAAGCTAAAATACATTTCATAGTATAACTTTTATGATAGACATTTACATATTCCTGACACTTTGAAATAGCAATTTCATAATTTTTCTCTGTTAATTCTTTTATAACATTTCGATAAACTGGACGTTGTTTTTTAGGTTGTAATATCTTTGAGTTCAATTTGAATGTTTTAATATATTTCTTCTTTGTACTTAAAATTTGTTCAACTTCTGAATTATCAGAATCATTCTTATCTGATCCATTTGAGGGTAAAACACGTCCAGTGTCCAAAAGGCGCAAATATAGATTTTTGTAAATAGAATTTTGTAATAAGGATCTAATATCATTATTTTCAATTTTTTCTTGACAAATAGGACATTCATTTTGTTTCAATTTGTTTAAATTATTTAAAGAAATCAAATGTTGACATTTTAAAATACATAATTGACTTTCAGGTTCATGACTGATAGAACAAGACATTTCATCTGCAATAATATCAATGATATTAAAGGAATTCAATATTTGTTCTTGTTTAAAATATGTATTCTGATCAAAACATTTTTCTGTTCCTTTTTTAATATCATTATTTAGCATAATTAAGTCTTCTTGACATTTTTCTTTAACAAATGCTAATAAATTTTGAAATGATTCTAAAGAATCTATTGAATCATTTTCATATAATTTTTGAGCATATTCGTCAAAATCTAGTTCTATCATTGAAAATGATTCATTAATATTTTGTAAACATAATAATATCTCAATAGCTTTAAATTGAATGAAACTGTTTGGAGCTTTATTGAGTGACTCAATTGCTAGATAATAGCAAAGTCCATATATAACTGGTTGAGTAGATTTCTGAATGAGATCTTGTGCAAGATCCAACACTCCAAACCATAACATATCAGGTAATGTTTGTGGTTCATTTCCGGAAAGGTCATTTAAAAAACTTCCTATGTTTTTTAAGGTCTTGACGAATTTACTTGATTCTTCATCAAATTTAGTTTGAGAATCTAATATGGATTTTTCAACAATATTATTCCACTCTCTTTCTGAATAGCTCCAAAGATATTCCATTAATATCCTTTCTCCAAACTTTCTATCAATTATCTTTTCATCACTTTCAGACCAAATAAAAAGGTTATGTTGAATTATTAACATAATTCTCCAATCAACATAATAAGTCGCTACTGGATATTTAAAACTTATACCTTGACGTACTTGGGTAAGCATTGATAAGTTCGGACCATTATCATTTGGAAGAACAACTCCGAGTGATACAATACTTGTAATTCCTGGTGTAATATTTAGACCTGTCTTCAACAAGTCTTTAGTCCTACCTAAAATTTCTTGAAACCAAGTTTCATCATCGCGCAGACTATGTAGTGTATCATGCAAGTGCAGCAATAAAAAGTCGATATTATAGTTATGCCTTTTAATACATTTGTTTTCGTCATCAATATTCTGATTGGATTGATTGAACTTTGGTTTAAGACTATCAAGTCCTTCTTCAATAAATTGTATGTTTTTGCGATGAATTTCCGCAAATTTCGTCAGAGAATTGTGAACTATATCTCGAACTTCCTTACAAATAACTATTTGTGAAAAACATATCTGTTCCAGAGCGGCTAACAACGTTCGCAAATGTAATTCCAATTTTATTTCGATTTCTTTTGAATGTTGGTCAAACAATGAAGGATTGGCTAAATTTCTTAATGAATCTACTAAAGTTTGAGACGAAAATTTATTTTGATGGTTTTCAAAAAGTAATTTTATAGCATTTAAGAATTTTGGTTCTGTGATATTTCTTATAAGTTCTTCTACTTTTTCATCCGGAGTGATATAACCGTCCTCCTCTAATTTGAGAAGGATATCATTGGTTTCCGTTTTAGAGATATCATTCAAGCTACTTGGCGCAGTATCAGTACTTTCACTCTATATAATATAAATTAAGTAAACAATTTTATTTATGTATTGCATTCTTAAAGTTTAATTTACCTGACTTGAACTTCCTTTCATTGATTTCTTATTTTACTATTTTTCTTTTTCTTTTTTTTTTTTGACAAAAAGGAGGAAATGAAATTATATTTTATAAAATTTAACGTTATGTATCACAACAGGTCCAAAATTCTGTGTAATAAATATTGTGGCGTAGTATGCAAATAATTAAGTGAAAATTAATTTCATACTTTAATTGGGGAGAAATTTCAAGAATTGAAACAACATCGGAAAATCACCTGTTAGCAAACATAACAAGGTGTAGCCATGCATTATGACCATTATATTTGATATAGGTGTTGTAGCCTAAATGCGTTAATATCCGATGTGTGATTATTTGGATGTGCTCATGTCACAAACATGTCTGTATTGGTCATTTAGTAAAGTATGACATTCATACTGTATCAAAGCATGGATTTTCGCTAGATAATGTAACACAAGATACTTACTTTTGTCCAACTCTGCATTATGCACGGTAGGTAAAGTACAATACAGACGAGAGAGGAATGTTTAGAATTATCGTCAAAGAGAGGCAGATAAGATAACGTTGGTCCTTAAGCTTATTCTTGAGATTTCGGCAAAATGTCGGTTAAAATAAATTCCAAATTTAGCAGATTGGTTCAGTCAAAATTTCAAAAAAAAAAAATTAAATCAATAAAAAAATGTCAACACAATTTTTTTCCAAAATTACCTTGAAATTTTAAGGATGATGAATGAATATTGTGAAATTACAATTTAAGTTGGAAAAGATCCAAACGTGAAAATATTTCCGTGCGCACATGAATATTTTATGTAATAGTTTTCGTATTTTGCGACGAACCTAGAATAATAGCTCATCTAAAGTTATCAAACGTATCATCAGAAAATTTTCATGTTCTTTGAAGGTAATTAAATTTAAACAATTATTTTCTCATTACGCTTTTTAATTTAAATTTTGTAACTTATAAAATTTATATAACATAGGTGACATTATTTCATTAAAAATATTGATCGCTGAAATATGGTATATATTCATTTGATTTTCGTTTTTTTTGATAGGAGACCTGTCTTAATTGTATTGTGTGCTACAATTAAAAAAGGGCTGGTACAACTATTCGTGAAGGTTTCTTTGGTAATGGTCTATATACTGTATCTTCCCTAAAAACCATTCATTCAAAATATATCACGTGAAAGTGAAATTCTGTTGGGGATGCTAGGATAGTTTTTGAGTCATCACTGGTATATAATCGTTGATTAATGACGATTATTCAAATTATCCAGATCATCCAATAACCGATTAGTTGAAAAAACTCAATCGTCAAATATTTCATTAATTAAAACAAAAAAAATATACTCTATATTTCGAACTTATTTTTATTATCAGAAATAATGACAAATTATATTGTACTAATTATTCCAACTATTATTTTTATGCTAATCACTATAATCAGATTTCTTCTGGAGGGAACCATACAAAACTTCACCACCCCTTTATTTCGCAATCTTTTTGCAATATGTGTATCTGCATCATTTTCGTCAAGTAGAAGTTGAAACAGGCCAAAATTTTTTAACCGGTTAAAATTATCTTAGGCCAGTACTATAAATTTGGTTGGAGTTAGGCAATATTTTTGCAATCATAAAAATCTTACGGAAATTGAATTTCGGCCGTAGCTAAATTCATCTATTTTTAACCGGTTAAAAAAAAAATCATTAACCAGTTAACATGTTAACAGCTTTAACCGTTTCAAATCTCTATCTTCAAAAAAATCTTTCGGATTTCTTTCTTGTTCT